GGCGGCAGAGCTTCGTTCCTTTCCCTGGTCAAATGCTGTTCCCTTGTGTGGATGGACCGCACTGTGTGTATCCGTTCGTCTGCTGACGGACACGTGGGCTATGTTCATCTTCTGTCTGCTGTGAATCGTGCTGTCAACACACGTGTATGGGTGTGTGTGCCGGCGTATGTTTTCATTTCTGGTGACTTCCTTCTTGGGTTAATTCAGCGTGTCTGCTAGCATGCCATTCCAAAAGGTTTTGACCTGAAGCAGACCGAGAGGTGAGGCCCAGCGACTGGCCCATGTCTCCTGGGGTGTCAGGACAGGAGACCAGGTTAGCCGTCCCTATAGTGAGCCCACACTTGCCCCGAGGAGAGAGGAGTGGACGCCCAGGGCTCAGCACGCTGCATCCTCCACGCCTGTGACCCACGCATGGGGCCACACCCTGAGCTGGCCCGAGACCCCCAGCATCACCCAGCAGAGGCTCACAGGGAAAAAGCCACAGCCCCTGGGTGTGCTCGTGGCCACAGACGATTCTGCTGAATGTTTTATGTTCGAGCGTCGGCACAATGGAAAACGCGTCACCATATCCTTCCTACACGCTCACGTTACTGACCCCCGCCCAGGGGTCCTCAGCTCCTGCTCTCCGAATGCCTGACACTCCTGGCACCTCAGGGAGCGTGCTTTTATTGGTTCAGGAGGAAAGAACCGACAGACGGGCAGTCACAGTGTTGGTGAGGATGTGGGGCCATGAGACCCTCGTGCACTGCTGGTGGGAATGAAATGGTGCAGCCACTGTGGAGCGTTAGCCGTGGAGTCACCGTATGACCCAGCAGCCCCACTCCTGAGCACAGACCAGGAGGAGCGAGAACACGCCCCACGAGAGAGCCTGAACACGCGTGTGATGGGGGCACTGTTCACCTCAGCCAGAAGGTGGATGCGGCCCGTGTGTCCGTGACGGCTGGACACAGTGTGGTCCGTCCGCCCAGGGCAGCGTCGCTCAGCCGTGCAGAGACGTGAAGCTCTGCTCCGCCTGCGACATGGATGAACCTTGAAGGCACCGAGCTTGGTGAGCAGCCAGCAGGGAGCAGCCGTGGAAGTCCAGGAGCGTCGTCAAGCTGCCGCCACCGTGGGAGGAGCCTGTCCTGCGTGACCTCGGCCCACTGGCCTGGAGGAAGGGGCGCCCCCCTGCCAGCTCTGAGCAGCCCCCGAGGGAGGGTGGCCCCTGAGGGAGGGTGGCTGGTGTCGTAGGGAGGAGGAGCTTCCAGGAGCCGCAGGGGCGGCCGGGGTCTGACGGGGCTCCCTGATCCAGTGTCCTCGTCCGAGGAATGCCGTGGCGGACACCGTCCAGTCAGACCCCGCAGGGACTCCCGGCCCCGCTGCCAGGGCATTCAGGGGACCCAGAGTTGTGCCAACGTCCCCTCTGTGTCGTTCCGGAACATTCCATCACTCTGAAGGGAAACCCTGGACCGATTACCAGTCAATCACTCGCCCGTCCCTCTCCCCCAGCCTCAGGCAAACACTAATTTACTTTCTGTGTCTGTGGTTTGCTTTTTCTGGGCGTTTTACATGAGTGGAATCGTACAGTATATAGCCGTGAGTGGTTTCCTTCTGAAATGCTTATCTCGAACTGTTTCAGTAAGACATTCGTAATTTCAGAGTTTTTTCCCTTTCAGGCAAAATATATCTCGCAGTGCATTGATGAAATCAAGCAGGAACTGAAGCAAGACAACATCGCGGTCAAAGCCAACGCCGTCTGTAAGCTGACGTATGTAAGTACCACGCTGCACCTGCCCGGCCGTGCTCCCACGGGTGCAGGCGCTGGTCTCGGGGCCGCAGGGCCTCGGAGTCGTGGGACAGCAGAGTCTATCACGGGGCCAGGCGGGTGGTGGTGCACGCGACCTGGGAGCAGGAGCCCCCTGCCACCCCGGCGTCCCAGCTCCCCCTGCAGGCCCGAGCCTGGTGGCCGGAGCGTGGCCTGGGAGCTCTCCCGTCCTGGGTGGGCAGTGAGCATGGTCAGGCACCGGCCCCTCCGGCCTGTTTCCTCGTCAGATGTGAGAGACAGGAGGGGCCCGTCTGGATGCTCCATACGAGCTGGTGCACCGTGGCTGGCTGGGGGTTCTGGCCGGTCCCAGCAGACGCGGTGTCGCCGTTGCAGAAGCTTGCTCTCTTGTAGGGTTAGTCATCTGTCCCCGCAGCGTTTACCTGGGAGGAGTGCTTGGTCAGCTTTGGCGACAGAACTGAAACACCCCGCGGTGTGTGGGGGGTCGGTTGTGAACAGAGGTTGTGCTCCTGTGTGCCGGGAGGGGGGTCTCAGCTCCGTCTCAGCTCCATGTGTGAGTTAACAGTGCTGTGCCCCCTCCCCACCCAGTTACAGATGCTGGGATATGACATCAGCTGGGCCGCCTTCAACATCATCGAAGTGATGAGCGCCTCCAAGTTCACGTTCAAGGTGAGCTTACGGTCCAGGAGCGTGTCGACGTGTTTGGGCCCTGAACCGAAGGCTTTGCGGGTGTGCCTTGTGAGGGCACAGGGACACAGCAGTGGTGACAGCTGAGGCCCGGGGCGGGATGGTGGAGGAGGTCCCTCCGTCAGGTCATAAAGTGGCTCCTGGCTGCCAGCAGGTGAGGGAAAAGGTGGAATGTTAGTGACAGGACTTGAGAACAAAATCAAGTCTCAGGTATTAGGAGAACATTGAAAACCCACACTGTGTGGGCACTTCCCCTTCTGGAGTTTAAGGGTCTCCAGCTGGGTTCCTGAAAGGCTCCCGCTGCCCATCCCCTCGTGGCCCTGGTGCAGGGTTTTGCTGTGGGGGCCAGAGGAGGTGGCTGCTGGGAGCCGCGGAAGCTTCCAGAGCGGGGCTGGGTGTCTCCTGGAAGGCTGAGTGCAACCCCGTCTCCGTCTCACGCCTTTGTCCCCCACCCAGCGGATCGGGTATCTGGCCGCCTCACAGTGCTTCCATGAGGGCACGGACGTCATCATGCTGACCACCAACCAGATCCGCAAGGTGAGCCCACACCCCGCAGAGGCCCAGCATCTGTTTGTCCTCCTCGCTGTTTTCCTGCCACTCCCTGCGACGTAGAGCCCTTGGCCCCAAGGCCAGCAGGCACACACACTGCGGCTCCTTAGAGCGGATGCGTCTTCTGTGAGGCAGTGCTTTTCTCAGGAGAGCCGGGCACTCTCCTGGCCGTCCGCAGTCTGCCGGCGTCTTAAATGAGCCCGAGACTTCGGAAACGTGCTGTGCGGGGCCCGGCAGGGACTGGGCTGTCCCTGACCCCCTGGGAGCCGCTGGGGCTCTTTACTGCTCAGCAATCATCCGGGTGTTCTCACTGCAAACTTGCATTTCCCAGAAGTTCCGTGGCAGCATCTGAGGGCACCTCCGCTCCCCTCGGCCCCAGGTCCGCTCCCCTTGGCCCCAGGTCCGCTCCCTTCGGCCCCAGGTCAGTTCAGCCATCTGGGGACCGAGTTCTGCGCTGTGGGTCCTGATGATAGTTTACGTCTTCAGCCTGGGAGCAGGGAGGCTTTGAAAGCCTGTGTTTTAATATTTATCACAACATTCCAGAAGCCAGACTCTCGTGTGTGCCTCTGGGGGTGTTTTCGCTCCTGTTCTTAGAAGGTGTCGGGAGGGTCCGGGAGAAAGCCTCCCCCCAGAGCCGGGTGGTGACACACGAGACGCATTGTCCCGAGCGCAGAGGTTCCCGAGTTTTCGTTAGAAGTGTAGGATTAGGGCCGAGAGGTTGGTGACCCCGGGAAGGCTTTGGGCAGCCGTCAGAACCTCCTCTCGTCCCAGGCGCCAAGTTCCCTCCTTACTGCAGTGGTGACTGCGCCCTCCAGGCCGGCACATCTCTGGGCCCCTGGGAAGGATCTAGCGGGGTTAGCCTGCTTGCTTTAGAGGGTCGTCACGAGGGCCATCGAGTTGATTCCGACTCATGGCGACCCCATGTGACAGGGTCGAGCTGCCCCGTAGGGTTTCCTAGGCTGTAATTTATGGGAGCAGACTGCTAGGTCTTTCTCCCTCGGAGCCCCTGGGGGGTTTGTATCACGGACCTTTTAGTCAGCAGCTCAGTGCTTAACTGTCGCGCCACCAGGGCTCCTCGCTGTGGGGAAGAGCCCCCACACGCTGGCAGGTTCCCAGGATGGGACCCCGTGGGGCTGTCCCACGCTGTGCCCACCGGGGCAGGCTGGCGTCTCTGTTGCCTTAGCACTGCCATCATCGGGAGCAGAGTCACAGGCGCACCACAGCCTGACTGTGCCCTGGGACCAAGTGTCCCTGGACTAGGAGCTGTGCTGGCATGAGGCACAGCCCCCTCTGTGACCCGGGAGGTGCCAGGAGAACTTTCCAGTCCCCCCAGACATCGTCACCTGTTTCCAGGCACACCTGTCTTGGCTGTATCGGGCACGGAGTGTGGAACCTGCTGTGAATCACTGGTCCCCGCAGACCCCTTGTCCTGCTCGTCATTTCAGAGCTCTCTGAGATGGGGAGGGGATGGGGACGCAGCTGCACCCTTCCAGACCTGCGCGCGGCCCAGGGGGAGGCGCTCCTCCCTGCCCCCACTGCCCGCTGACCCTTCGTCCCTCCCGTTGCAGGACCTGAGCAGCCCCAGCCAGTACGACACTGGGGTTGCGCTGACTGGTCTGTCCTGTTTTGTCACCCCAGACCTTGCCAGAGACTTGGCAAACGACATCATGACGCTGGTGAGTTTGTGAGCGCGTCCGGAGCACGGCCTTTGCTGCACGGGTGTGGTCTAGACTGCTCGGGCGCACATCAGGCCCAGGTCGGGACGTCCGGGAGAAAGTAGGGCCATGCGGACAGCAGTCAGGGTGGGACGCCAGACCGAGTCACCACTCCTCTGTCCTTGTCTGGCTGGGGTCTGTCTCAGAGCTCTTCGATTCTCAAGTTTATTTTGACTGCTTTGAAATGCTTTTGCTTTGGGGGAAAGCGTGGGTTTCTGACAGGTTAGGTGGTGGTGGGTGTGGCCAGAGGGCAGGTACATGTCCTGATTAGTTCCCTCCCTGATAAGTGGGGTGTGGGGGCGGCCAGGGGCCCAATGGCCAGTGAGCCTTTTGTTTTTATCTGACCACAGTTGAGTTTTTCTGGTAAAGATAGTTTTACAGCCAGAAGCTCAGGCTAGTTCTGCTCTTATGGGGATCCCAGATGATGTTTTGAAATTTTGAGATTCCCTTGGAAATCATGGCTCTGAGAGATATCTACTGAATGCTCAGGTTAGCCGTTACCTAAGTGGGAAGACCGTTTGTTTATTTCACTGAAGGAACAGTGGTCCCCTCAAAGCAGCATGGAGAGGTTCTCAGATTCCTGCTCGGTGAGGTCCGCCATGTCCTGGACAGCCTGTTCACTTGGGTGGGTGTTAGGTCTTGAGATTGCGAAGAACAACCAGACCAGCTCAGGTTTAGATTGGGGCCAGCAGCCCCTGGCCCATTTAGCAGGATCTAGACCAGGGGCTGGCAGGCCCTAGCCTTTTTAGTGAGTTCTAGACCAGGGGTCGGCAGATCCCGGCCCGTTGAGTGAGTTCTAGATTGGGGCCAGCAGACCCCAACCCGTTTAGTGAGTTCTGGATCAGGGTCGGCAGAACTGGCTTGCAGGCCAGATCAAAAGTATCCAACCAGCTGCTCTTCTAAATAAAGTTTTATTGGCACGTGGTGATGTTCATTTTTATTTGGTCTGTGGTGGCGTCTGGTCTGTGGTGGCGTCTGGTCCATGGCGGCATCTAGTCCATGGCATCTTTGTGCTGCAACGGCTGAGTTCTGTCCACGTGGCCCATTGCAGAGAGTGCTGTCCCTGGTCCAGACTGAAGAGCTGAGAGCCCTGGGGGGAGTTTGCAAGTTGTCCACAGTGAATGTGGATGTCGGTTGGGTGGGTGAGGGACTGGCTGTGAGGGCCAGCCAGTTGGAGGAGGTGAGGCCCACCTGGGCCCTGACAGGTGAGGGCTCTGCCCACCTGGAGGTGAGGGCCTTCCCGGCCAGAGCACTATCCCAGGATGGAGGAGCAGCTGCAGAGTCAACACCACAGGGTGAGGGACAAGGCCAGAGCATGGGAATCCCAAGTGCCCCTCTGTATCCTGCTCTGGGCATGGCCTTGGCAGCCTAGATCCCAGGGGTCACATTGACGGGGCTGAAGACTACTTTCTAGAGACTTTCCAAAGCTCTCCCTCCTTCCATGGGCCCCAGTGGGTCAGGGACCCCGGAACAGCCAGACTGGGTTGGGGGAGGGGTTCTGGTCATGGCACAGGCGGCTTCGATTCCATCCAGACCCTGTTTGTGGTCTCTGGGGTTGGTGGGCAGCAGCTTGAAGGCTGGCGCTGGGTGAGCTGGAGAAAGGCCCTTCCCATGGGTGGCAGGAGTGGGACTCGGGGTGGCGCCAGGGCGTGGGAGGGCGCGTGGAGACTGAGTCCTTGTCGCTCCGCAGATGTCGCACACAAAGCCCTACATCCGGAAGAAGGCTGTGCTAATCATGTACAAGGTGTTCCTCAAGTACCCTGAGTCGCTGCGCCCCGCCTTCCCACGCCTGAAGGAGAAGCTGGAGGACCCTGACCCCGGTGTGTGCAGTGGAGCGGGACGCAGGGTGTGACGGGCACTCTGAGGTCAAGGGCATGGCCGGGGCCTCTCCGAGCTGGGATGGCAGCGGTGCAGGGCTCAAAATTGTTGAAATTTGTGGTTGCCTACGAAGATGCAGATGGGGTAAGGCTTTTAAAGAAGGAGTTGAAGGAGTGTGGGATCCTGGGAAACCCGCCTGCCCAGAACCCCCCCTCCATGGATCTGGGCATGGCAAGTGGGTGGCCATGAGCTCTGCTTTGCTGGGTTGTGGGCTCAGGGTCCTCGCAGTAATGGGGGCCAGCTAAGTGAGCGTAGCAGGAGCTGCGGGGGCTGCCCGTCAGGAGGGAATTCCAGAACCCTCTGAGCATTTTCACATCACTCTCTGGGGTCTCTGTGGTCACAGGAGCAACGTGAGGTAGTATAAAGAGTGAGGGTCAGCAGCCCCTGCTGGGTGGCCTTGGGGGAGACTGGGCCCTGCCCCTCCTTCCCGCTCTAGCGCCGTCCCGTAGAACGTTCTAGACGTGCACCAGCCACGTGTAGCTGTTGAGCACTTGGAACGTGGCCTGGGGAACAGGATGACCTGATTTTAAGCTTTTATTTCATTCTGGTGTATTTACATTTAAGCAGCCTCCTGGGACTGAGGCTCCTGTGTGGTGGTGCAGCCCTGGACCTCGCCTTACAGCCCCAGCACACAGCGGGCGCTCTGCAGAGGTGTGGGCATAGTGATCCCCGAGCCCTGGGGTGCCATTCCAGGCGTGGGGCGCGCCTTTTCCCGGAGCCTGGGGTCAGACAGAGCTGTGAGTCCCAGCCTGGCTCCATGAGGTTTCCCAGACCTGTCCACCCACCTGCGAGCAGTCCCTGCCCAGGGGCCTGGCAGGCGCGGGGGCTTGGTGTTGGTGGGGTCGCCCTGCGCCAACAGAGAGCCCTGTGCCCTCCGACCCCGCACAAGGAGGAGAAGGGAAAGGTCCTTGGGTCTGAAACAGTGCTGAGTGCATGAGGGCCGCCACTCTCGCCTTTTCCTGATGCCACAGTTGGGACTGTGGGAGGCCAAGTCCTGCTCCTCTCTCGGGCCGCTGTGTGCCCTTCCACGGGGTAGAGTCAGGCCTGGGGGCCGTGTCCCTGTTACCGGCAGGGATGCCGTGCAGCACCCACAGCCTGTCCCCCCAGTAGCTCCTTAATCAGAGCCGCGAGGGTCTGGGTGGTCTCTAGAGCGCGGGAAGGGTTTGAAGGACACCAGGGATGGAAGGGGCTGCTTCCAGGCGTACTCGGCAGGGTTCCTGTTCTCATGACCTCTCTCTCCTGGCCACAAGTTGAGTCTTAAACTTTCTGAGGCTTTCCTTCCTGGGAGTTTTATTTTCTGGATGATTAAAGTCTTAAAAATGTTTTAATTTTTCACATAGAGATAATTCTAGAATTTAAAGAAAAAATAGTGCAAAGATTGCTGTGTACCCTTCACCCCAGCCTTCCCATCATCGCGCAGGTAACGCTGTAGTGATGTAATCTCACATAAGTACAGTCACCCAGACAGAACTGAGCGTTGATGCAGTGCCGCTGCTCACCCTGCAGCCTTCACCTGTCGTCCCTGGACGCCCAGCCCAGGCCTCGCGTAGCATCGTCTCGGTCGTTCAGGGCCTGGACGCCGTGGAGAGGCCTCGGCCTGTGACTTTGTAGGCTGCTCCTCAGTGTGGGTCTGCATGCTGTTTCTCCGTGGTCACGGTGGTGTGTCTCGGTGGAACCTCTGATGTGTGTGTTCTCGGGCACTCATGTCAGGGTGCGCCCGCATCAGTGTGTCTCGTTGGTGACGTCTTCCTCCATTATGGGGCTCTGATGCCTGCTGGTTCCTCCCCGTGACGTAGCTGGCTTTCCCTTTGTGGTTTGTAAGTACCTTGTGGGGCTGGACTTTGACATCTTGGGGCTTTCTCTCCTGACACTCCCCCACTCACTTCAGGGTGGGCTGGGGGTTCTTCACTGGAACCGTTAGAGCTGGGGTGGCTGCCTGCCAGGCAGGACTTGCTCTGTTTCCATCCTTCTTCCTACACGATGTGCTGGAGTTCTGAGGAAGGAGGAGCTTTTTCTCGTCTGTTTTAGTCTCTCGTGCTGCTGTAACAGAGATACCCCAGGTGGATGGCTGTAACAAAGAGAAGTTTATTCTTTCACAGTCCAGTAGGCTGCAAGTCCAAATTCAGGGTGTCAGCTCCAGGGGAAGGCTTTCTCTCTGTGTCGGCTCTGGAGGAAGGTCCTTGTCATCAGTCTTCCCTTGATCTGGGAGCATCTCAGCACAGGAGCCTCAGGTCCAAAGAACGCGCTCTGCTCCCGGTGCTGCTTTCTTGGTGGTGTGAGGTTCCCATGTGTCTGTGCTCGCTTCTCTCTTTTATATCTCAAAAGAGAGTGGTTTAAGACGCCATCCAATCTCTTAGACCTCAGCATGATCTCATCGTAGTGATAGAGTTTGCAACATATGAGGAAATCACATCAGATTACAGAATGGTACACGATCATACAATACTGGGAATCATGGCCTAGCCAAATTGATACATTTTTGGGGGACATAATTCAGTCCATTGCACTTATCCCTCATCCATTCATCAGCGTGAAAACGGACTCACCTGTGTTGGTTTTGTTTCACGGCTTAGGATCCGTTACTGCTGTTCCTTTTCGTTCCCATTGTCTGATGTTAGGATCCATTACAGCTGTTCCTTTTTATTCACATTGTCTGAGGTTAGGATCCGTTGCTGCTGTTCCTTTTCGTTCCCGTTGCCTGAGGTTAGGATCCGTTGCTGCTGTTCCTTTTCGTTCCCGTTGCCTGAGGTTAGGACCCGTTGCTGCTGTTCCTTTCTGTTCCCGTTGTCTGAGGTTAGGA